TGTAATAACGTATCCAGTAAAGTTCTTGTCGTTTTTGTGAATAAATTGATTTAAAGTCCCCACAAGTGTTTCAATACGTAAAGTTCGTTCGTGTGTGTTTGTGAGTATTTCCCGATTTCGGTTCGTATATATTTTATTGTTACATTTTATATTTTTTTAATAACACTGTTCTGCTGTATTAAATTTTTATTTCCTTTAATATAATTTTTATGAATGCATATTCTTTTGGCAATTATCCCACTAGCGCGCCTCTGGCTCAGTATTTATCCGTCGATAACAATGGACAAATCCCTTAAAACAGGGTGATACCTACCTGCTCTTTATGAAACGACATAATTTTGCAATGCGGACTAGGGAAGTGACAGAATTTATTGACGGATCACCCTGTAGCGCTTTTGAATACTTAATGATATTTTATTACTCTACACTCTTTTGAAATAGACTATAGTTATCAATTTCATTATAGCTGAAAACACCCCTGTATTTCAGTTATTTTATTTTTGGTACAGACGTAGACCTTTATGGGCCGCCGTTTTGCAATACTTAGCCCTAGTGACAGCTTCAAACTCAGCCTAATGCGATCCCGCGAAAAGGGCAAATTCTCGATATTTTGTTTCGCTTTGGAGGAATAAGTTTTTTGAAAAAGTTTATTGGAAATTGATTTTGGCTCTAATACATTCCGAAGCTCAACCCAAAATTCGAAATTTGATGATTTTTTTGTAATTTTCATATTCAAGTCCTATTTTCAATTAATGGTTCGGAATAAGAAGCTACAGAAATGATGAAATAGTCAAAATCAATAAAATGTTATCATGTTATCATAAAATGTTATCATAATGAATATTGGGTTTTTCATTCTTATTCCTACATTAAAAACGAATTTATTATTTTCGTAGCTCCAATATATTGCTTTGTTGACGATAGCACACTTGTCATTCCATTTGGATTACAGGACATCGGCTGAGGATGCAAATCTTCCCCGGCGGCAGGTGGTTGCATATCTTAATGGTGATCTAGAAATGATTTCAAATTGGGGTGAAACCAACGAGGTTCAATTCAATGCCACAAAAACCCAGGCATCGGTTGTCTCCAAAAAGATAAATAACAATTCCGATTTCTGCTTCGATATGTGTTGAGCCTTCAAAAGGACATAAATATTTCTTGGCACAATTATGTCGCTGGAATTGCAAAGGCTGCTTCTCAAAAGCTGGGAACACTGTTCCGAACCAGAAAACTGTACACACCTCAGCAACTTTTGATGCTTTATAAAGCTCAGATCAGGCCTTCTTTGGAGAATTGTTCTCCGCCCCTAAGCATACCCTGAAGGTGCTGGATTCCATCCAGAAAAGAGCCATCCGCCTGGAACATCGATGAAAGGTTGAAGATTTGTTTCTTTTTATAGATACTTTCACGGGAGATGTTCAAATGACTCAGCAAATTTGATTCCACCAAGAACGGTACATATCAGAAGTACGCGATGGACTGGCTGCTCATCGTTTTGAGGTTCAACTTAGTACACCTCGAACTCCACCGTTTAAGAAAAGAACTTTTTCCTTTGAAGAACTGTGTTTATGTGGAATAAACTTTCTGAGAATGTTGTTCAAATCTAATGGCTATTTTTGTAGTACTTGAGTTTCGTCCTTGAAAAAATACAAAAATAGCTTCTTATTTAGAACCATCAACTAAAAATCGGATTTGAATATGATAATTATAGGGGTGTCTTCATCTTAAATGTGTATGACAAATTAAATATTTCAAACTGGATTTTCGAAACATTCTCTTCCGATGTACCTACACAGTAGATTCTAGTAAATATCTGTCGGAAAACAACTACTTCCTCGGCTAATACCATGATGGACTATAAATTATATCCAACATGCTTTTATGCAAGATGGCTCACAGAGGTTCGTCTTACAGATGTTTCACGTAATTCCAGCTGCTGAAATAGCTGAAATCAATCCACTAGATCACCTACAGTCACTGAATATCTGGACTGCAAGAAATGTTTCACATCTCTGGCAAAATCTTCGAGAATTGTTCTATTCCAAAGCTTTTATACATTCTCCGACATATGTTAACAAGCGATTGTTGGAATACAGCAGGGATGACCTACTTACAGGTCAGCATCGTCTAAATCATCATCCGAGGTCTTGGACAAAAGACAATGCAATCCGGCAGCCGATGAAACAGCAGTGCCCCAGCACGGTACCGCCGCAAACTTTTCAATGTTTGGCAAAGTTTCATTCTAGCCATCAGACCTGAAATGCCACCAAATAAACTTATCGGTTTCGTTGAGAAGCTTGATATATTTGGTGGAGTTTAAGTTTGCGTTAGCCACAAAAAACCCTTTCGGGTTCNAATGTGTGACACTCCTCTCAACATATGCTGGTAAATATCCTATAAAAAGTGTTCAACGATATGATAAGAAGAAAGGGGGAAATGTGAATGTAGAATGCCCTTATGTCATTCAAGAATACAATCGACATATGGGTGGAGTGGATCTAATGGATAGTTTCATAGGACGCTACAGGATCAAGTTAAAAAGTAGAAAATGGTACCTACGAATATTCTATCATTTACTTGATTTGTGTATGGTAAACGCATGGCTACTATATAAGAGAGTCTTGACTTCACACGGAAAACAGAAAGCAATATTACCACAGTCGAAATTCAGAAGCCAAGTGGCAAATTGTTTGTGTATGGTTGTATCTAAAAATACCACCACACGAGGTAGACCAAGTCATAGTCTGGAAGAAAATATTGAAGCTAAACGGCACAAAGGCAATGCACAACATATTCCTCCAAAAGATGTACGAACTGATCAAGTTGGACACTGGCCAATCCATGCAGAGAAAAGAACCAGGTGTAAATTTCCAAGCTGCAAGGGGTATACTGACGTAATTTGTGAAAAGTGTGGTGTTGTTCTTTGTTTCAATAAAAAAAATAATTGTTTCAGACAATTTCACCATTGAGAAACTTTTATGAATTTGTGTACAATGTTGCATTTCTGCAACAACGACAAATGTTGAAAATATTAAAAAAATATGCAAATAGAATTTTTTTCGTTATTTTTCCCTTGTTTCTTTGATCATTTTATAACGAAAAACATTTTTTTAATCGAAAATAAAAAATCATGCATTTAAGGGTTAACTAAACCGTTCGTTTTGTTAACCAACTGAAAAATATGAGATTTTTTTCTGCGAGTTGGTAGGATCCAATAACGAAAATTCAAAAGTAAACTCTCGTAGACAGGTTGATTTACCTTGTAAACAGTTGATACAATCCCAAGTGACCTCGATGTATTTTGCTACTGTGCCGAAATCGCTCATTTTAACAAATGCGCTGAGGGCATCGAAACTATAGTTTACTCCCATAATTACCGATAGCTTCAGTATCAGGAACAACCTAAAATATGAAATTGAAATGAATTATCTTTTTACCTGATAGTAAACGGTAAATTTTGTTGTAATCAATGAAGAATTTACAGTCTTATTCCGTTATTGCACAAAAATATTATTACGTTCAGGGTAGGTACCTAGGTTTTTCACTAATAAACAAGTGGTACGCCCAGAGGTGGTACATTGTGGGGCAGTGACGTAACAGTAACTTCACTAAGAAAATTGACTACATGGCGGAACCATTCAGGAGCTAAATGTAATTTTGCATTGAATTTTTATGACATTTTTCTTCATAGGTACAGTTGGGACGATAAAATAATGCACATGCGTCATCAATAAAATACGCGATAAACTATATACTTATAAAAGGTCTTTCATTAAGCGCTTCCTATCTGTAAATTTGAATAAAACAAAGTGTGTGTGTGAGATATTATCACGGCTTCTCTGGGTGGAGCGTATCCGAAACGTCCAATTTTCCATGACTCCATTTTCCATGGCATCGGTTATGTTGTCTCTTGAAATGTAATGTAATCTCTTCAAAAGTTACAACATTCTCACCTGTACGGGTCTGTATGTGTTTGAAATTTGTGTATTCGTTTTCAAAAATAAGCATTATTTTTCATGCAATGGAGACTTCCACTCTTATAACACCCGTCGTAACAATAATCTGCGACTGCCACTGTCCAGGGTTAATGTTACATATAAAGCTCCAAGTAGAATCGGAGTGAAAATTTTCAATAAATTACCTGATACCCTCAAAGGTGTAGAACGTGAGAATACATTCAAAAAATATTTTAAACTTTACTTATTTAGTTGAAAATACTCCATGAATGAATACTTCCAAACAACTAACCAATCATGTACCTGATTAGTCATCTTATGTGTGATAATTTATATTCACTTTTATTTGTATATACTATATTATACAGGGTGTTACTAAATAAGTCTAAAACATTCAAGAAAGTGATTCCTCATCGGGTCTTTCATATAAAGAAATTTCATTGGAGCATCCCTTGTTAAGATACAGCCCCTTAAAGGGGGTACATAAAATTTGTATAACAATTTTTTTCACAAGCACTGAAAAAGTTACAATATTGAAATTAACCTGACATTTTTTACTACCAAAAAGACACTTAGCCAGAAATTTATTTGGTTTACCCCATGGTTGTAAGGGGTGGAAAATTTCCCTGCATCCATAAACAATACTCCATACGGCGGATTTCATCTCCTTCGTGCAAAATATGTAAAAATTTGGATTTGAACGCATGCATTATATGCCTCTTTAAACACCTCCATATTTTACTGCGGCTCATATTGAGTTGAAGCGATAAGTTTATCAAACTAATTCTAGGATCAGCTTGATGAGCCGCCAATATCGTATCATCATAAATATGATGTTTTACAATGTTTCTGTCCTTTGTAACTTGGCCGGTGCTCACGAATAGATTATATATTTTATGTACAGTTCCATGGTGTACAGCTACCTCTAGCGGGTGTCTTCTATTAAATTCAGCGGCCGCTTCACGATAAGACCTCACCCCTTCACCAACATTTGAAACAATTTCAATTTTTGCTTGAAGTGACAGACGTGCCATGTTGAACTTTATCAATCAAAATGAGCTGATATCAGAAATATTAAAATATGAACAGGAACTCACGAACAGAACACAACTGGAACACAGGAACAATAACCAACACAAATACAGGAACAATAAACACAATGGGAATAAAAACACGGCAGAAACAACAGGAACAACGGTGATTCAAAGAACAACAATACTAGGGACAATAAATGCAATGAAAACTGGTCTGGGGGTTAATACAACAAGATCTTTCAACAATATTGCCAGGTTGACAGTAAATATCAATGAGTAACTGTTTTCCATGGTGATTTCAGGGCACCGCATGATTCAATGAAACTGATGTAATTCAATCCCTTCAAATGATTTCAGACAACAATTCAGCAAGTAGGTAAAATAATCTAAATTCTACCTTAATTGAATAGAACTGGCCGATACTTGATGAAAATCCGTATTAAACAACTAATCAATACAGTTTATTTGTATGAATATAGTGATTATAGTGAAAATCATACAAATAAACTGTATTGATTAGTTGTTTAAATTCTACCTGTTCACCGAGTGCGATTTTTTCTTTGAAAATTAACAGTTGTTTTGGTATTGTAATGAGTATGAAGATTAATTTTGTTTCGGATGGTAAAATGTTTCCTCAATATTTTGATAAATGATCCCGCACATTTCTTTTGAGAAATGGCTTGCCTTGAATTTTGCCGAAATTTTGATATGTTGTAGTTCTTAATGTGCTGATTGAAAGTGTCCACAGCCAAAGCTCAGAATTGTACAGTTTTCGAGATGTGAACCTTTGAATATAGATTTCTTCAATTTTTTGCTCATCAATCGAGAGCTCTCACTTCTGGTTGGGTTAGAATTTGGATGTTCAGCAACCAGAATTAGTTTTACGAATAATCTTCTTCAGTTATAATAGATGCCACCATCGATAATTTTTCATACACTACTTCACACTATCTCGATAATCTGAGAATATGGTGCTGTGACATTTTCCTCAGATAGGCTCAAAATTGATGATAGCATCTCACAGCATTTGTATCTTTCATACCTGAGATTACTCTCCAGATAGAATGAAGGGGTTCAGGTATTGGAAGCGAACTAGTGAGACACACTGTATACTAGCGCTACTACTAAATATAAATACACACACCGAAAATTCAAGGGCATAGAGAAACAGTGATGAAAATATAGTTTTGTTTTATGGAAAGGCCTTTTTTCACCGCGGCTAGTGCCCTAGTTGGAATATTTAAAACGGAGTAATAAAAATGTAATTTTCATGCGTAAACGTGTCTCTTTTACCCCCTCATGGGGCGCCCCAGTTGAAATATTTGAAAATATTTTCTTATTGCGCATCTAAGACCTAGGAAGCACCTATATACTAAATTTTAGGAGAAAAGAGAATTGAAACTTTCTGTGTTTTTACATAGAACGTTTCAATCCTCTTCTGTTCATGATGATTTTCTACCACGTAGGTAGGAAATTTACTAAATTTTAGCGTCCTTGGACTCACCAGTACGGGGAAACAGAAATGAATGGGTGAGTATGACTGACTTTTGCATTTATAAGTATAGATTTAAACAAATATATAAGAAACTAGAAATTCATAAATTCCATTTCAACTCACCGTTCTTGATCCCTTTTGAATTTGTACTTTTGTTGGTGTCTTATTGTGTCATCTATTTTGTTTATTTCGTTCTTGATTCTCAGACAGTAGGAAATCGTTTGAACAAAAAGCACCGTATTGATGATTTGTATGATAAGGTGTGGGAGACGCAGGAAAAGTACTCCTGCATAGTTATTTGTGCCTGAAAGAGAGTATATCGCAGAACTAAAAATCAACTTAGTGAATTTTGTAAAGAGTTACTACAGACTTAGAATAAATACGTTGCACGTATTTCGATAAATAATTTCTTAATACTCACGAGATTCTATGAAACACTGTGTGGTACCCACGAATGGCTGGATTTCATATGGTAAAACGTTAAGCGAGGTGAACATGTAGATGATCAGAGTTAGAATCAATGGCACTCCCCATCCGTAAGACATGTAAACTAAAAGTCTCTTCAAGTCCTTCCGTCGTTGAGTAATCCCAATTGAATGTTTGGTTGTTCTGTAGAAATACACAAATGAAAAATTAGTGAAGAAATGAAAGAAACAGAGAGTATTTATAATAAAAATGTCGGAGGACTTTGAGGAATATAATTGTCAAACAATAACAAAGACTACAGAATACTATAAGACGTGTCACTCGCTCATTTTTCGACATCTGAGAAATCTCGCCGCCCGCTAGCGACAGCGGGTAATTACCAGCCGAGGTAGTACAGTGTGTCGCTTGAAGTTACCAGTTCTCGTCGGCACACGAGATATAAAGGTTGTCCGTATTGTTTGGTATTGTCAAAGACTACAGAATCGGTAAACTTTGGTATTGTGATTGTGTTGTGTTCGTTCGGAGTTCGAAATATTTATTTTGTGAAAATGTCGACGTATTGCTCAGTGGATGGTTGTCTGAGTACGGTGGGAAGCCCAGGTATTTCGTTTTTCCGCTGCCCAAAGTACAGTGAAAGGTATGCATTCAATATATTCACCATTAATTTTTATTTTACCTATCTATACCTTTTATGGTTTTGTTGTATAAAATTATTCATAACGAAATATACCGCCGGCATTTGCCAATCCAAACTCATTTCAATCTTTTTTCAAAATGTTCAGTTTATCGATTGATATACTTGAATTTTTTTTTAGGTGTCAACGTTGGAAAAATGTATTAGGCTTCATTGGGAATCATAGATATGCTACTCTTACCCCAGAGCAGAGTCACAATAGAATTAAAATTTGCAGCTTACATTTTAGAGCCGATGATATTGTGAATTCTCGTATTCATAGCTATGATNTTTATATACAAGAGTTCGGATATACTTTACTTTAAAATTCATGAACCAGGACATGAAGATTGTTAGGAAACATAAATCATGCAATGTAAAATTGAATATTTTAAATCATTTATAAACATATAACATTATATAATTGTATTATTTTTGTTAATAAAACATGTTTTTCTGAATGTATGTTTATCATTTCATCAGTAAATCACTCTGATCTGTTTCTTAGATCATTTATTCATGAGTTTATCTATCATGTTTCTAGAAGTTGATCGACAAACAACTACTTTCGTATCTTTGTTTATCTGTCTGATACAACCGAGCAAGCGAAGTTTCAACTTCGGAACGTCCCCTGTAGATATCGCGAATAGGAACTGCCCTCGTATAACTGTCATGCGGCCGGCGGCTTCCAGACATCGTCTGTCGGCGATATGATTTATGGAAATCGCAAAAAATGCAATCCTGAGCCGTACCGACAAACGAATTCCTTGGAGTGAACCAACTCATAGTATTCGGTAAACTTTGACAATAATAACTAATTTTCAAGAAATACTTGTAAATAGTATACGTGCTCCCCTGTTAGAAGATTGAACTAGATTGGTGCAACATTTTTTACAGTGATTAAGAAAATATATCAGCATAGTGTCGTAGCGCCAGTCAAAATATTTTTTGTGCCAAAGTAACTTAGATGAGTTGATGCCTATGAAATAATTAGAGAATTTGAGGAAAGGTAATACGAAAATATTAGAAAGCAGTTCCAGTGCAGTTTTCACGTTTTTTACAGTTTTATCAATATAAGTAGTTGTTTACAGCTGATTCTCGGCCTCCCCCCACCACTATGACGTATTAATTGCTTTTTT